CTGTTTGTAAAGCGACTATTCCTAAATGAAAAAATCTCATTCTCTCTCTCTGCCTATAGAACATGTCTTCCATCCATATGCTCTACTCTAGCGAAGAAACATTGATGGTTGCACTATGTTTTTACAATTCTTTTTCATTTTTATTTTAACAGCCTTCCATTTCTTGAAAACTCAGAGGATGAGTTTGAAAAACAGGTTTTTCTATCAAAATGGGAATTTTAAATGTATATCGTGTATAACAACTCTCCTGCTTAGAGACAGATTCACAAATAATTTACAAATATGAAAAAATCTTATTCAGCACTGTTATTTGACTGTTAACGCTTATTTAGCTGTTAGCGCTGTGTATCTGTATTACACTACCTCTGCTGATATGCGCTGCGATAATGGAAAAAATTGATGTCTGAACTATATTGCAAATTCCTTTCCATTTATTTTTTAACAGGCTCCCAGACCTGAAAGACGCAGCGGATGAATGTACAAAGTGACCATTTTCAAATAAAGATAATGTTTCAGTGCAAATGGAAAATTAACTATTATAGATAGATTCACACATAATATACCAATATTAGTATATTTCTAAATGGGAGTTTTTAACTCTCTCTCCACTCTCCTACAGTCTCCCAGATAATCTCTTTTTAGAGACAGACAGACAGATTTCACATTTCACAGTTGTTACTCAGCTCATTGCTGCATTCTTACAGGTAACTATTTTTTTTCTTTATGTATTTTAAAATACATTTACGATTCAGGTCTGGAATGTCCTTTTAACATTTCATAATGTTCCTGCACGTTATCCTGTTAAAAATTAAATATTCCAATTCAGTATTGGGGAATATTTTTTAAAAAGTGTTTTTTTGGGGGAATATTACATTCTTACAAGTCTGCCACAGCTGTGATCTTTATACATCCAGAGAACAAAACGTCTTCCCAATGACCATCTCCCCAATTATGATCAGCCATACCATCGCAGAAGAGAATCTCATTGGTAAAGACAGGGAGGATGTGACGGATGCCTCCTTCATGGATTACACCCTGTAAACTTTTTCTGCTTAATTTTACATTCTACTGCCTTGCATCATTCAGTATACGAACTAACCGAATACTTAAAACCAACCCAGTTCGTATACCGAACAAACTGTCGAACCGACCGACCACCCAGGACTGTCGTGTGCCACGAGTTAACCCCCTTGACCTTCCTAACACCTACTCTAACCGCAATCCCTGAAATTCTAAGTGGTCAGCTGGGTGGCTGCCATTCGTATGGATGAACACAAGGTGGCTGCCATCTTGTTTTGACGAACACTTCCAGCGGGATTTGGTCGTCGAATGCATGGAACCATTATCGGACACTCGACAGCCAGAACACTGCTGAGACTTCCATCCCCACTTATGTCCGTTCCCATTCATGAGGCAAAAGCGGCGTTCGGTGAAACCAAACTCCCGAATGAAGGATACACAACTAGCCTGATCACGAAGAGTTCCTTTCGTTTTTTTGTTGTGTTTGGAGTTCCTGAAAGAGACTGACCGCACAGCCTGAATCTTTGGAACTATTTTTGGCAGGAGCGTCGTGTGCGGTTGGTCAGAAACAAGACTTCCACAAATCTTTTAAACCCCTTAACCGATCTGGGTGATTTTCAAATATGTTGCTCCTCCAGATTGGGGCTATCAGGGGACATAACTTGTGTGGGGGTTATGTAAGTTTTTGGGGTACTTTCAGGTTACCTGCAAATTGTGTTCTTTTTCACCTAGAGATAATTGAGTTAGTACAGTATCTGGCTCAATTATCTCTCATGCAGAAGGGAGGGATTGCATGATTGCAATGGGACTGTCTATGACTTTATCTTGTAAGTTCCCCACAAGGTCCATGTGGGAGTGCCCCTTGCATGGGGAATTGCATAAAAGGGCCAGTTTCTTGCTTACCCTCATCATAGAGTCTCATCTGATTGTAGGGACCAGCTATACCTGCTATGATCACCCAGCTCTTGTAAGAGCTATACAATCCTGGGAAATTGGAAAGCATTACTTGACTTTTCATTTTTATAGAAGAATATTTTTGCCGACTGTAAACGCTCATAGACATCTATTGCTGATTGAATATTTTGAGTGCCAGGACAGTTTTGTACTTAGTCTACAGTGGAAGCCAGGGCAATTTGAACATTTTGTCATCTGTCACTTTACTTTAAGTAATTTATCTAAAGATATCTGGATTTTCTTTTAAGACATAGTAATTTCTACGATATCAATGTAAAATACATGTAACTAATCTTTCCACAGAAATAAAATTTAAATAATGGTAAATTGGAAAATTAGCATTTATACACAGCTGGTATGGCTAATAGATTCATTTAATTTTACCGATTTTGTGAGTATTTCTGGTGCACCCAGATTTTCACTTATTGTTTTTGTAGTTACAGGTAACATCTTACAATGAGTGCATCATTCTTTCAAGGCAAAATTTGGTATATCGATCTGGTTGAGTGGCTACCAAAACAAAAACAGCTGCAATAAAACATAGATTTTTGAGACCTAGACACACTGAGTATTAGAAGTCTTTTTGTTGGCCAATATGTTCACTAATTGTTCTTTACGTATACTTTTTCTTGGAGACTATTTAATCATCAAGGAGTACTTGGAGTAGGAAAAAACATGTTTTTAGAACATCAAATAAAGTGATTATACTATGTTCTCAGGACTATAAACAATTAGTGAAGGACAGGTTCTGAGTTGCATGGGGTTATCTGTTTGGATAGGGAAAACACAGACTTACTGTCCTAATTAAAGAACTGTCACCTCCAAGCAATTGTTAATATAACAACCCTTTCAACAGGTTTTGAAAGGAAATAGTAAAAAAAAATATGTAGAAACTCATCCCTACCTTATATGACAGGTATATGACAGGATCCTTCAGCAAAACCGACAGTTAGTCTCTATGGTATTTCGTTCTTCTGTGGAGGGAGTGAAGCAGGGAAGACCATAGAGACTAACTGTTTGATCAGGAAACTGTATGACAAGTGCATAACAATATATAATATATCTATAAATATAATAGTACTATTGAAATCAGACACAGATTAAGATTTTGCAGGGACCTAGGTTGCCGATTGGCTATTTTGCTGTAAATGAAATTTTCAATTTGAATTCATTTTAAATTCCTGACAAAACATCATTTTCCTAAATAAATTTAACAACTTTCAAAGTTAGACCTCACATACTTACTGTTTGTACATGTCCCTGGCAACATGGTAAAAGAGGGCGAGCCTTTCCAGCGCGAGAATTATCCCCGGGTTCTGAGAAAGGCATGGTTTGTGCCCCTGCCCAAATTTGAAAAAATACAGAACCTGTACTGGGCAAGGACGAATTATCAAGGTCTTGTCACCCGGGGAACATGTGAGCAGGTTTGTAATAGAGAAAGTGATGAACATCCCCCACATCAGCAGCAAAACCCGTTCGTAAAAAGTGATGGATCTAAATTGCATCTGTCATGATAAACATGACACTGTGTCACTATAATAGAAATATCATTTCACGGAGAACCGTCATGCGCCAGGATTTTTAATCTTATGTTTACTTATCCTCTATATTTAGCAAATATATGTTTGTGAGATCTGAAAAATAAGTAAATAGAAAGCTTTTCTTGTTTTTATTTTTCTATCTTATTTTCTTTGCGTCAGCATAATGTATAGATTTCATGAATGGAATTAAATCAAAAGAAATTGATAGTAAAATTAGAAATGTTTCATGGCTACATAATATTTTAGAACAGAATCAAATTATATTGCAGTGTGATGTTTATATGGTTAAAGCCGTATTGCCCCCCTCCCCTGGGCCTCCTTGCCCCCTCCAAAAGAAAGTTCATAGCTACATAGGCTGGAAAGAGACATGTGTCCATGAAGTTTAGCCTTCCTCACATCTGTTTTTTGCTGTTAATCCAAAAGAAGGCAAAAGAGCCTCCAATTGACCCCAGAGTGGCAGTCAGATTTATCCTTGGATCAAGAAGCTATTACCCTGCAGTTGAAACAATATATCCTTAAATATTATGTTTTTGCAAGTATGCATCTAGTTGCTGTTGAAACATCTGTACAGACTAAAACCACTTCTTCAGGTAGAAAATTCCACATCCTTATTGTTCTTACTGTAAGAAAAAGCTTTCCTTTGCCATTGACTAAATCTCATTTCATCCAGTCTAAACGCATGACCTCATGTCCTATGTACAGTCCTGTTTGTGAATAGATTTCCAGACAATGGGCCGCCGGATATATTTGTATAGTGTTATCATATCCCCTCAGAGGTGCTGTTATTCTAAACTAAAGAGGTTTAAATTTGTTAACCTTTCTTAATAGTTAATTTTTTTAAATTCATTTTATTAATTTTGTAACCCGCCTCATCACCCTTTCTAGTGCAACAATATCCTTCTTTAGAACAGGTGGCCAAAATTGCACAGTATATTCAAGATGTGGTCGTACCAGTGGTGTACTAAGGAGGGGTTGGGGGGGCGGGCAGCCCTCTTCGGGTGCCACTGACTAGGGGGTGCCATGACTTCCAGTGTCATGTGTCACCCCCCATCATTACACTGCGCACAGCCGCAGCATCTGTGGCCAGCCCAACGGGACTTACTCCATGGAGGATGAGAAGGGGGAGGAGTGTTGCGGGCCGTGGCGCAGCGCCATCAGTCTGCCTTCACGGATCTTTAGTGGAAGGATCCAATATCCCGGTGGTGAGGCACCCAGTGGTCAGTCATGGAGGCAAGGCATCATCAAAATGTGAGTAGTTATTTTATGTCATGAGGCTAAATTAATTAAAGGGGGGTGGATAATGGATTAATTAAAGAATTAAAGGGGAGGGAGGTTTAATTAAAGGGGGGTTGATTAATTAAGGGGGTGGATTAATTAAAGGGGGGGTGGATTAATTAAGGGGGTGGATTAATTAAAGTGGGGTGGATTAATTAAGGGGTTATTGTGGAGAAGGCCATTTGTTATGCAACTACTACGTGTAAAGAAATGGACATTTCAATGGAAACAAGAGGGAGAGTAAAGCTCCGTAAAACAATGCCAGGAGAGAAGGCAAAGGACGCTGGTCTCACATTGCCAGAGGAAATGAAAAGGGCTATGTTTGAGTGCCTTGATCGTTTTCATCATGAAATTCGTTCCCAGGCAATTGAAAAAATCCTTTTAATGTTTGCTGTTATTCAGCCAAACTCTCTGGTTGTGGCAACAGAGAAAGATATTCGTAATTATACTCCAAAATTGACTGAGATCTTTGACAAATTCTCTAATGAAGACATGTTTAGGGAAATTGAACGTCTTTGGAGGCATTTGGAAGCTGCCAAGATCAGTGTTGAAGAAGCAAAGAAATGAACGGCATTGCAGTTCCTGGAGTTCATTGTTAAATGGGATTATTGTGAATCTCTGCCAAATTTGTCACTGTGTTTAAGATTCTTTTTGACTCTCTGTGTGTCTATTGCTTCATGTGAAAGAAGTTTTTCCAAATTAAAATTGATAAAAAATTTATTTCGCTCAACCATGAGTGAGACAAGGTTGACAAATCTGGCTAAACTTTCAATTGAGCATGAATATGCAAGGAAGATTGGCTTTGATGAAGTAATCGATAAATTTGCAGAAATGAAGGCTCGAAGGCAGCAGATATGAATCATTGCAAATTAAATCTGCCGAATAGACTGGTCCCTTTGGATCTGTGTGTTTTTTAGTTTATAGAAAGCGTATTAGCTGTTAAGTAGATGTTAATTATTTAAATTTAATTTATTTCTAAGTTAATTTATTTTTCATAGTTCAATTTTTTTCAAGTTGATATACAGTTTACAAATTTGTGCAATAAATATTATTACAAACATTGAAAAAATTGTGGGTGCTTTCTTACATTTTTATTATGGGGAGGTGGTGGGGGGTGCCAAACTCAGGGTCCGCCCCGAGTGCCAAATGCTCTAGGTACGCCCCTGGGTCGTACCAGTGATTTATAAAGAGGCAAAATGATATTCTCATCACAGAGACAGTGCCGCTTTAAGGACAAGTTGTAGATCATGGATTATCCAAAAAAGATACACAGTGGTTGAAAGACAAATTATAAGGCCATTGTATTAGAGGTTTGTTAAATATTAACTGTAAAACAGACTGTTATAAAAGTTTACCTGTCTACATATGTCATAAACTGGTACATAGCGAGCTTAACTTATCACAAAACTCCTAAAATGTTTTTGTTTTTTTTAAAGATATTGTAAATCCCAGTTTCTCAACCCATGGTACACGTACCCCAGGTGGTACGTGTACCAATGGCATGGGGTACGCCATTAGGAGGCTGGCTGGCAACGAGGGAGCTGTAATCTTCATGATCTTCCAGTGATGGTGTTTCTGGGAGCAGTGGATGACGTCAATCTGGCCATAGCCGAGCATTTCAATCTTATCTAAGATGGAAAGACAAATATAGACTTGGAGGCCTAACAGGGCCGGTGCAAGGATTTCTGCCACCCTAGGCAAAGATCCATTTTGCCGCCCCCTCATGTTACTCACTCGCTGACAGACACACATACTCTCACTCACACACACATACACAGAAACTCACTGACAGACATCCACTCACTCGCTGACAGACAAGCACACACTCAGTGACAGACAAACACTCACTCACTGAGACACACACACAGTCACTAGCTGACAGACATACACTCCCTCACTGAGACACACACAGACACTCACTGACAGACATACACTCACTCACTAAGACACACACACACACACACATACACAGACACTCACTGACATACATACACTCACTCACAGACACACACACATACACACACACACACACACACACACACAGGAAGACACTCACTGTCATATGTATACTCACTCACTGACAGACACACACACACTGACAGACACTCACTCACTGACAGTCAAACACACACATTACTGACACACAGACTCACACAATTAAATTTTTTGAGGCCCATCTAGCTTTCCTACCTCCCAGGGGTCCAGCTCCTCACTCCTCCAGCGCACTGTTTAGTATGCCGGGGCCAGAATTACATCATATTTCGGCTCCTGGCATCACAGAGGGCACGTGAGGGAGGAGTGAGAGGTTGCAACAACAGCCTCCCTCCCGCCTGGCTTCTCCGTCCCCCTCTCCTCTTGTCACTGACATTTGTTGGCAGAGCAGGCACCTAGAAAAGGGGGGCCACCCTCAGTGACACAGACACTGAAAAGGTTAGTCGTTCCTGCACCTAGTAAAACCAGGTTTATAATCTCACTAGGTGTATGGCACCGGAACGACTAACCTTTTCAGTGTCTGTGTCACTGAAAGCTAAAGTAAATTAAAGGGATTCTCAAAAAACCGTAACACCGATGGCGTGTTGTATTGTTTTTAATGCCAGGATCACATCAATCGGACAGAGACAGCACAATTATGTGTTTACAGTCATGACGGTTTACAATCAGTCTATATCAAGGGACTCCTGACACCATAACCACTATAGTGTGCAATAGGTTATGGTGCTTACAGCATCCATTTATTGGCAATACATGCTGTGGCCTGAGAGACCCTAACGTGAATTTATAGAAAGGTTCATTAGAGCTATGAGTTCTGCTTGTAGGACCACTGTATGAATAAAAAAAAATAACAATTTGGCATATATACCCCGAAAGAAAACATGCATATAATTTAATTCGCACCCTGATAGCTGTGATTTCTTTGTTATTTTGGCTTATCTTATTACTCTGATCTCTGTACTACTTGACTCGGCTAGGCTCTTCGATACCATGTTTTCTGGAATCCTTGACCTCGGCTTGTTTTCGGATGCACACTGGCAGACACACACTCTCAATCTCACTAATTTGAAACACTCACTCACAGACAGACAGGCACACACTCACAGACAGACACACAATCTCACTGACAGACACACACACTCACAGACAGCCACACACTCACAGACAGCCACACACACTCACTGACGGACACACACACTCACTGACAGACACACACACTCACAGACAGCCACACACACTCACAGACAGCCACACACACTCACTGACAGAAACACTGACACACACTCTCAATGACAGCCACATACTCTCAATGATAGACACATACCCACTGTCCGATACACACACTGACAGACACACACTCTCAATAACAGACACAAATACTCACTGACAGACACACACACTGACAGACTCACAATCTCACTGATTTAAAGAACACTCACTGACAGACACAGACACATACACACACTGACAGACACACACTAACTGACAGACACACTGACACACACTGTCAGACACACACACATACTGACAGACACACACAGTCACTGACAGACACACACACTCACTGACAGACACGCACACTCACTGACAGAAACGCACACTCACTGACAGACACGCACACTGACAGGCTCACAACCTCACTGATTTAAAGCACACTCACTAACAGACACATACACACACTGACTGACACACACTCCCTGACAGACACCCCGACACACACTCTCAATGGCACACACACACTCACTGACAGACACACACACTCACTCACTGACAGACACACACTGATAGACACACACACACTCACTGACAGACACACACATATGATAATCTTAGCCAATCCAGTGATCTCCCATAGTAAAGCATTGGAAGGCTATCACTCATGCATGGTAAAACGCCTCGCTGTGCCAATCTGCATCTTCTCATAGAGATGCATTGAGTCAATGCATCTCTATAGGAAACGTTCAGTGCCTACATGCAAAGGAAGCACCTCTAGTGGCTATCTGAGTGACTGCCACTAGAGGTGCTACTAGGCAGTAATGTAAACACTGCTGTTCTCTGTAAAGTCAGTGTTTACATTGAAAAGTCTGCAGGGACAGTCAGTAAACACCAGCACAACTATATTAAGCTGTAGTTGTTCTGGTGACTATAGTGTCTCTTTAATAATAAATAAAATAAGGAATGATAGATTTTTACTTCCCTTTAAAATGAATAATTGTCCTTTAAGTAAATGACACATTGAATAGCCAAAGAACAAACCGTCACATCATTTGTACTAGCAATTTAGCAGTGCGTCATGTTAGGGTACAACCACCCACTAATGTCAACTAACTTAGAACACAACGAGACTTGGCGTACAGAGCTGGATTATCAGTTTTTCCTTATTTTGACATGGCTTGCATGGCTATCGCTAGCCCTGTGTAATATATATGTAATATTATTGTCATAGAAAACAATGTTGGCTCGTCCATATAATGACGATAATTCTGCTTCTTTTATGTTTGTGTCACTGCAGAGCTTGGCCCCCGAAATCTCTCTGCAAGCAATATTATGGTATCCATGGCGATAAAAACATATTTCCCCTCCTTTCTGATTGCAATTTCCATAATTCCGCCTGCTCTTTCGATCACAGTTTACATACTGTGCTATGTGCTAGTTTTAACCTGAGTATGCTGTATTGTGTCTATTGTATTGTTTATAAAGCAATTCAAAGCAGATTATTGCTAATTACCTTCATTTCAGGGAACGTATCATTATGTTTTGCAATATTCCTACAAAGCTGAATACAGGTTTGGATTTTAGCATTGCTTGGTGCACATTTTATATGCAATACTTCATATTTTTCACAATATGTTTTTCTTTCCTGGTTTCCCAGCATGCACCTGCCATAGTAAAACTGATTTCAAAATAGTTGGAGATCAAATAAGACAATGTCTTATTTTCTATATTTTTTTCACACATTATATAGAAATATATCTCTTCTCTTGCTCATTTTTATCACTTGCTTACAAATATCTACACAATGCTGCTCCCACCTACTTATCCTCACTAATACACAAATATGTCCCATCTAGGCCCCTACGCTCTGCCGGAGACCTACGTCTAACCTCTGTTCGTACTCCTACCTCTGATGCTCACCTTAAAGACTCCTCTAGGGCTGCACCATTACTATGGAAGGCCCTTCCCCTCTCTGTTAGACTCTCAGCCAATCTCCACTCCTTCAAAAAATCTTTGAAAACTTACTTCTTTAGGAAAGCATATCAATTAAACTGTGAACAGCTTTACCTCCCCGCACCCTGATTCCTCTCCTGAAACTGTCATCAAAACAAAACACTAAGCCCTTAATGAATACTATCCTAGCAACCTACCTTTCTACCCTATCCTTACCTTTTTGTGTCACTATATCCCACTCCCTCTAGCATGTAAGCTCATTGAGCAGGGCCCTCAACCCCTCTGTTCCTGTGTGTCCAACTTGTCTGGTTACAACTACATGTCTGTTCGTCCACCCACTGTATAGCGCTACGGAACTTGTTGGCGCTATATAAATAATAATAATATTAATAAAAATAATAATAATATGATGGTCAGAGCAATACATCCCAATCATACAATTAATACCATATTGCATAAAATGTACAAATGAGAATAAAAACAATTGAAGGCAAATCCCCAAGCAATCTATCTTACAAGGAAAGGTTAAAGGAACTTAACATGTATAGCTTGGTGGAAAGACAAGACAGGGGGGATATGATAGAAACATTTAAATACATAAAGGGAATCAACACAGTAAAGGAGGAGACTATATTTAAAAGAAGAAAAACTACCACAACAAGAGGACATAGTCTTAAATTAGAGGGACAAAGGTTTAAAAATAATATCAGGATGCATGGAATAGTGGATGCATGGAATAGCCTTCCAGCTGAAGTGGGAGAGGTTAACACAGTAAAGGAGTTTAAGCATGCGTGTATAAGATAAGGCCAAGGACTAATGAAAGTATTTAGAAAATTGGGCAGACTAGATGGGCCGAATGGTTCTTATCTGCCGTCACCTTCTATGTTTCTATCTTACAAAATCATTGAATCTTGGAAACTTGATAATCTCAGTAAATATTCAGAGACATTAAATGCAGACAGAAATTGTACACACCTTTGTGTATGATAAATACATTATACAATTAAAATGACACATTTAGTAGTATGTAATAAAAGCATTAATGGGAATGATGACTACAATTTCCAGCGGGGTTATTTGCTAAAATGAGAAAAAAAGTCCTTTAAAGGGACACTATAGTCACCCAGACCACTTCAGCTCAATCAAGTGGTCTGGGTGCCAGGTCCCTCTAGGGTTAACCCTTCCTGATGTAAACATAGCAGTTTCAGAGAAACTGCTATGTTTACAGTTGGGGTTAAGCCAGCCTCTAGTGGCTGTCTTCCGGACAGCCACTAGAGGCGCATCTGCAATGATTGAGGCATATTATGCCTCAATCACGCAGAGCGTCCGTAGGAAAGCATTGAAAAATGCTTTCCTACGGACACTTTGAATGCGCGCGCGGCAGTGCCGCACATGCGTATTCGACTCCTGTGACGTCGGAAGAGGATGCTGACATCGGCGGGGGAGGAGAGGTAAGGGAGCCCGGCGCTGGAATTAGGTGAGCTACTGAAGGGGTTTTAACCCCTTCAGCGCCACGGGAGGGGGACCCTGAGTACTATACTGTCCCTTTAATTTTAGCTTTGCTTCAATTTTGGCTACTTTGGCTTATAATGTTAAATTCATTTAAATCCACTGTGAATTCTCACTTTATTGAATAATCCTGTTTGTCAACGTGCATTTGTTACACATTGCGTGAGAAAGACGCCAGATCAGTCATTGCGGAACGTGTTTTCAAAGAAACTCAAATGATTTTTGGTGATAAATTAAAATAATATTAAAAATCCTGGGAAGTTGACAATCCCTCATTAAATCTTTTAGAGCAGGTTCCCGGTCGCTGTCCGTGGTGCTGGAAAGGCCATTCACAACTAACATTGTTATTCACTACAGAGAGAATTCAAGGTGAATTCAGAGTGAGTTTCAAATGTAAGGCTAAAATATTCGAACTAGAAAGATCCGCTAAGTCAGCTATGCCTTCAGTTCGGCTGCTCTGGCCTTAAATTTTAAATTCTGTTTGAATTCACTTTAAATTCTCACTGTAGTGAATAACCCTGTAAATGCAATATACAGCGCCCATACTTTAGTACTCTGGCAAAGCTTCCCATCCGGAAACAAATATAAGGCATGCCATAACATGTCAGCATGGAAGCCATACAGTCCGTTTAATCAAAGTGCTAATCAGCGTTCTACCAGGACTATTCACTAAGGTGAGATTGTCGCAATTCAAAACAAATTTAAAGTGAATCTCCCATTTAAGGCTAAAGTAGCCTAACTGGAAACATTTTTGACTTGGAGAATGTTTCCAGTGTGGCTACTGTGGACTTAAAGGAACACCATAAAAAAAACATAAAAACTTAAAGGGACACTATAGGCACCCAGTCCACTTCAGCTCATAGAAGCGGTCTGGGTGCAGTGTCCCTATTTCCCTTAGTGCTGAAATGTTAAACATTGTAGTCCCAGATAAACTGCAATGTGTACATTGCAGCACTAAGTCAGGCTGTCTCCCAGACAGCCACTGAAGGCGCTTCCTGGATAGAAACTGACCTTTGATCCGGTATCTGACGCTGGACATCCTCAGGCTCTGCATGAGGACATCCAGCGTCAGCTATTACCCCATAGGAGAGCATTGATTCAATGCTTTCTTATGGGGAGGTCTAATGCGTGTGCGGCATTTGTCGCGCATGCGCCAGGGCCGTCTTTAACGCGGGGCAAAAGGGGCAGCTGCCCCGGGCCCTGTCATTCCTAAGGGGCCCAAAGCAGCTGCCCCTTGAGCCCGCTGGCCGCTGTGGTGCTTGCGGGCAGACCACTGCGGGCCGCACGATGAGGGGCCCCATCGGGTGGCCCATGCTCTTAGGGCCACCCGATGGCAATGAATCTGCAGGGGCCCGGTCAGCACTGCGGCGATTAACAGTGCGACCGGGCCCCCAGTGATGAGGTCAGTGCTAGGAGGAAGTGCAGTCACTTCCTCCTAGCTAACACAGAGAATGCCGCGTGGGAGGGAGGAAGAGAGGAGGAGCGCGGACTGAGAGAGCGCTCAACTCCCAACAGCCTCAGACAGCCACTGGACAGCAGGTAAGTCACCCTCCTGCACCCAAAAGGTAGGAAACAGGAGGGTGACTGTGACAGAACCATCTGTCTGCTGGATTTTTTGCCCGTTCGTCTGTTTGTCCCCGTTCGTATGAATGGCTGGTTTCTATAGCCCAGCCATTCGAATGACTCTTTTTCCCGAACAAAACCGCCGAACGAACGGCCACCCAAGTGAGGAGTGTGCTGCAGGTTAACGAAGTGATCACCATTATAACGCTGTGGTTAACCGCAGACACTTCTCAATTAAACCGAACTCAGGGTGGTCGTCGTTCGTATGTCGACCACGAGGCAGCGGCCATTTTAAATCATGCGAACGCTCAGCGGTGTTTGGCTCTATTTCTATGGAACGGAAAACGGACACTTTTTCTGTCGAACACCGCTGAAACAAGGGAACGCCTGGCTGCCTCCACGAAAGCATGCGAACATCGGCCGTTCGGGAGATTGAGAACACACAAAAGACTTAACCCAGATAGCCCACCCATGGAGTCATTCGTGTACCGAAGGACTGTAAGAACTTTGACTCCATGGCGAATGAACTATGTGTGTGGGATCTGAGCGCTATTCGCCAATAATATGCACTCAGATCCAGGCTATCTGGGGACATGTAATACGAATGGGAAATGTTCAGTCTTCATGTAGTTATGCATTTTTGTGTCTTTTATTATTTCATGTTTAAGATGGCGACTGTCCTTGTCCTGGAGTTAATTGAGTTACTTGGTAATTAACTCCAGGACAGAGGGGAGGGAATCAGAATGTACTGTGGGTAAAATATGTGACTGTGTGTCAGAAATGTCCTGCTATCTGTCTGTACTTTAAGTCTTCCATTTGGTCCCCTAGGGGAGTGTCCACCAGGTGGGAGACCTGCATAAATACGGGCAGGTAGCCCACAGTAAACCCAGATCTTATTTGACCCTCAATGCGGAGCTTCTGTCTCGTTATTGGAGGGATTTCTTCTTCACGCTTAGAGACTGCTGGATGGAACGAAAGCCGCTTTGGGGATATTATTGTTCGACGGTTCCTAGCAGTTCGTATATTGCCGTTCGGGAGTTTGGAGCCGTTCGTGGATTTCGATCGGGAGATTGCCGCTTCCCCTGCATTTGGTTCGTGGGTTACAGAGTAAGCGAACAGAGACTGTACTGCAGCCGGGGAAGGTTTACTAAACGGCGGTTTGGCTTAAAGACACGGGAGGTGTCTTAACAATTGGTGGCAGCGGTGGGATGAATCCTACAGCACTGGAGGTCAGCTACAAGAGATGCAGTACGAGGAATTAAGGCGTGCTACACTTAAGGACATATTGGAACGCCGAGGAAGGTCAGCAAGCAATTTAAAGAAACGGGAGATTATTGCTTTGCTAATGGAGATGGATGCAGCAACGGGAATGGAAAGAGTCAACGTGCCCAGTACCTTGGAAATACAATTTAACCGGGCAGTGCAAATAAGGCTGGCACATTTTGGCCCCAACCCCTCAGCTGACATCGTGGTTCGTGTGCAGGCAGCAGTTGCAACACAACAGGCAGCCCGGGAAAGAGGAGCTGCAGCAGCAGAGGTACCGTATGACAATAATGTGGTTGCTAGAAAAAAGGTACCTTTTGCTGCGTTTAAAAATTTTGTGGAAACAGAGGGAGAGATTGATGGATTTTTGGCAGACTTTGAAAGGCAGTGTGCGCTACATCAGGTACCTGCAGATGAATGGGTCACCATCCTCTCTGGGAAATTATCTGGCCGGGCTAGTGAAGCTTTTCGGGCCATCCCAGAGGAGGAGATCACCAGCTACCGGGCTGTGAAAGAGGCGCTCCTAGCCAGGTATGCAGTGACCCCAGAGGCGTACAGGCGAGGTTTAGAGAAACCAACAAGCTGGTTGGGGACTCTTATGTGGAATGGGCCTGCAGAGTCCATCGTACCGCAGCCCACTGGATGGCTGGATGCCAAGCGGTAACTGGGGAGGAGGTGTTACAAGTGTTCCTGCTGGAGCACTGCTTTGATAGACTACCTGCTGGGGCCCGGGAATGGGTCAGAGACAGAAAACCCTCTACCCTACCCGAGGCTGCCCGTCTGGCAGACGAATACACGGATGCCCGCAAGTTGGATGGTACAGCTGCTAAAGCCCCTGCCAGACTGGAATATCGACCAGCAGTAACACCCGCTCCTGCAATCTACCAACCCCCAGTACACCGTACCCCAGCCGCACCACCAGCTAACAATTATATGCAACCAGCCCGATTTAATGCCCGGGAGTACTCCCAACCCATCCGGTGCTATGGGTGCAAGCAGTTGGGGCACAAGCGTCCTGAGTGCCCCCTGAACAGTGCCAACCAGGCTCAGTCCTGGAGGAGACCAGTTAACGGAAACCAGCGCCCGCCTCAGCCTGCTGCTCACTGCCTAGAGCAGGAGGAATTTTGGGGCATTCTGCACGAGGCAGACCCAGTGCAAGCGGCTCACCAGGATAATCGCCAGCAACAGCGGCAAACTGTGAAACTAAATGGCAGAGTGGTGAATGGGCTGAGAGACACAGGAGCCACGATGACACTGCTCCAAAAGAACTTGGTCTCAGAGCATCAACACACTGGAGACACTGTGGCAGTAAGGGTAGCAGGGGGTGCCGTGTTTCGTTTACCTGTTGCCCGAGTACATTTGGATTGGGGAGTGGGCGCTAGGCATGTGGATGTGGGGGTGATGAAGGACTTGCCCGCAGATGTTCTTTTGGGAAACGATTTGGCCCCTTTGGTTTCAGCATATGCTCCGATGGGCCCTGCAGACGTGAACCCAGTGACCACCCGTGCCCAGACCCGTGCTGCCGGAACCAGCCCGCTTGCTGACGAGACCCAGGTAAGATCTCCTTCCCCGACTGATACCCCAGATCAGGTCCCCTTGAGCTGGGATTCCCCAGAGGAGTTTGGGAGGGAAACCCGGGCGGATCCGACCCTCCAAAGATACAAGGACAGGGCAGAGGCTGGGGAGGAAGGAATAGATGGGGAACGGTATGAGTGGGTGGGGGACAGGTTATATAGGATCCCTAAGCCTTCCCAGAAGAGTGTTGCCTCTCCGCCGAATCGCCAGTTAGTGGTACCTGCAAAGTACCGGCAGGAGATTCTGCGGATAGGGCATGATGTTCCTTTAGCTGGACATCTAGGGTCCCGCCGCACAGCCTATAGGATTTCACAGAACTTCTTTTGGCCAAACTTTAACCAGGCTGTGCGGATGTACTGCAGCGCGTGTGACACATGTCAACGGGTAGGAAAGCGGGGGGACCACCCTAAGGCTAGGCTATTATCGATGCCTATTATAGGGGAGCCCTTTGCCCGCATAGCCGTTGTCATTGTGGGTCCACTGGCCAGGGCTAGTCCATCCGGTAAGAAGTATGTTCTTACCGTGGTGGACTATGCCACCCGCTATCCAGAGGCAGTAGCGCTGTCTAACATAGAGGCAGAGGCGGTTGCTGATGCCCTGGTTAGAATTTTTACTAGGGTCGGGTTCCCTAAGGAGATCCTCTCCGACCAGGGAACCCAATTCACCGCTGTGCTCACCCAGCAACTGTGGAAGGTGTGCGGCATTAAGCCGTTACTTAGCTCACCCTACCACCCACAGACTAACGGTCTCTGCGAGCGCTTTAACGGTACCCTCAAACAGATGCTGAGGACCTTTACAGACACTTGCAGAGACTGGGAAAGATTCCTGCCTCATCTATTATTTTCTTATAGAGAGGTGCCCCAGGAATCTACTGGGTTCTCCCCCTTTGAGCTGCTGTATGGGAGAAGGGTCCGCGGACCCCTAGATCTCATTAGAGGCCACTGGGAGGGGGAGGGGGAGCAGGAAGGGACCCCCATAGTGCCATATGTTCTGGAACTCAGGGACCGCATGGAGAAACTGTCCCTGATGGTAAGGGAGAATCTCCAGGCGGCCCAGGGGAGACAGAAGAGATGGTAAGATCAGGGTGCCCGACAGCGGGTCTTCCAGGTTGGGCAAAAGGTATTGGTGCTTAAACCTGTGAAGGCCAACAAGATGCAAGCATCTTGGCAGGGCCCGTACAAGGTAGTGGCGCAGATCTGCGACACTACTTACCTGATAGCCAGCTGTGCAGATGAGAGGATCCAGCGGTCCTTTCATGTGAACATGCTGAAAGAATACCAGGAGAGACCTGAGAACATTGCAGCAGTGTGTGCCCCAGCTGCAGATGATTCTGAGAATTTACCCCTTCCAGATCTATTAGAAAGGGATTCCCAGACTGACCTTACTACCTTGGTACAGCTAGGGGACCGGTTGAACCCCACAGAAAGGGTACAAGCGCAGCAGTTGTTATGGGAGAAGCAGGCGACGTTCTCCCAGGAACCAGGTTATACCACCCTAGCTGTGCATAAGGTAGAGACCCCTAGACAGACCCCGTTACGACAGCCCCCCTATCGTATCCCTGAAGCAGTCCGTGAAGGAATGCGGAAGGAGATACAGGAGATGACCCAGCTTGGAGTTATTGAGCACTCCGACAGCCCTTGGGCCTCGCCTGTAGTCCTGGTGCCCAAGAAAGATGGGACCACCCGGTTCTGTGTGGACTACAGGCGACTCAACGAGCGGACCACCACTGACGCCTACCCAATGCCCCGGGTAGACGAATTACTAGATCGTATTGCCAGGGGGCGATATCTGACCACCATAGACCTGTGTAGGGCTACTGGCAGATCCCCCTGGCCGAGGATGCTATCCCCAAGTCGGCATTTGTCACCCCATTTGGCCTGTACCAATTTAAGGTCATGCCTTTTGGGATGAAAAATGCACCGGCTACTTTCCAACGGATGGTGGATAGACTCTTGGATGGCTTCCAAGAATTTGCCTGTGCATACTTGGACGACATTGCGATCTACAGTGGGTCCTGGGAGGAACACCTGGTACATGTAGGGGTAGTGCTGGATAAGATTAGGGCCACTGGCCTGA